AACGAAAAAAAAAAAAAAAAAGCATTTTGAATTTTTTGCTTAAATTTTTTTTTTTCTTTTCTCTCATAAATATATTTTTTAGTTTGAACTCAATTTGAATGACACAATTTAACAACAATTTATTGTGAAAAGAGTCGGAAAATAAGCGAATAGTTTTTTTTTTTTTGCCTTGCCGAACAATGTTGGCAATTGATGTGCGGTTAAAATCAACATTGCTGTAACACATTATTAAAATGACGATAAAGACTTTTGATTATTTTCAGCTTCTAAAATTATTGTTGCTGCTTTTAGTTGTAATATTTGTTCAGTTTTCACACAAAAAAATCGGTTTAGTTTATTATTTCTTAATTTTATTCTTCTTCTATTCACTTTCAATTTGGTTCAATTTTTGTGCCTGTCGACTCACCACTGATTGACTGAACTGACTGACTGACTGACTGTTCTGTTCTGTTCTGTAACATATAAGCTTCAAAAATATTCTTCATATACACAAAACGAAATATTAGATTTTATTCAAAGAAATTTCTTCGACTTTTGCTATTATTATTATTACTACTACTGATGCCGCTGCTGCTGCTGCTGCTGCTGTTTTGCTAATGATAAAACAATAAGAATTATAATATCGTCAATTTAATTGCTCTTTTTTCTTCTAATTCTTCTTCCTTATTCACTATTTGTTTCTAATTTTATAACGATTAAAAAAATGCAAAACAAACAGACAAACAAACAAACAAACAAACAAACAAACAAACAAACAAATTGCATCTCTATTCAATTTGACCACTTTTTATGGCTACTATAAAAAGCCGTAACCAAACCATCCAACAAGCCATATTTTGTTGAACAAATATCGATAACCATAAAGCAGCAAATAGCACATTTAATAAACTGCAATTTTTTTTTTTTGACTAAGAAATTTTTTCTTTTACAAATTAAAGAAGAAAAAAATCACTTTTTTCATGCATATTTTTTTAGAATTTGAGATAAAAACTCAATTTTAAGCACACAGATTGGCTTCAGTAGTGAAGAGCTTCTTATGGAGTAAACCTACAGCAACAACAAAAAAAGAAAAAAGAAAAAAAAAAGAAGGGAAAACGATTACGACTATGTCAATGACGGCAACGAGAACGATGAAAGAAATCGACAAATGTCAAGAACATTCAATTACTAAAATCATGATTTTATTTTTCTTTCTATTTCTGGTTTTAGGTTTGTATTGGTTTTAAATTTGCTTTTTGATTTTGGCTTT